GGGTTAGACTGGGTGACCCACAGAGGTACCTTCTAACCCCTACCATTCTGTGATTCTGTGTTGGGTGGATGGTTGGACTCGGTGATCTTAGAGGTCTTTTCCAACATATGATTATGATTCCGTTGCCCTCACAGCGGCTGCTCTTTCTTGGTTTCCTCCTCAGCTACAAGGGCTTTGTCCCCCAGTACAAGTACCAGTTTGGAGAGACCTTTGGCAAAACCACGTACCAGCTGCTGACGGACCTGGCCGTTCCGAAGAGACCTCAGCCCTTGCTGGCACCACTGCACTGACAGAAGTTTGGTGAGGACTTCATCAGGACTAAGCATGGTGTTCAGGGTTATCTCCCAGGGCGTCCAGGTGAGCAGACCCCAGATTTCGTCCCTGTGCCAGAATGGGCTCCGCTAACGAGCACAGGGTCGATCACGGGAGGGGGGCTGTGCCTGCCCTTGCTCCTGGGGTGCAGTGGGGTATTTTTCACCATGGCTCTGGTGTAGGAGCACCAGGGGGGAGTTGGAACACTCGGCCTTAGCTGATGAGCACAGGGCTTCTCACACTGGTGTCTGGAGAATTTTAATTTCCAGGTTATCTTCAGTTAGATGAAGATAAAGGTTTTATGGCATGTTATGAACTCACTCCCCAGTTCCTCCATAGTCTTGTCGTGGTTTAACCTGAGCTGGCAACTAAGCACCACACAGCTGCTCACTCAGTCCCCCCAAGATGGATGGGGGGGAGATAAAGACAGTTTAATAAATCAAATAAATAACAGTATTAATATTGTAATGAAATGGAAAATAACAAGGAAAGGAATAAAACCCAAGAAAGACAAGTGATGCAAATTAAAGCAGTTGCTACCACCAACTGACCGATGCCCACCCACTCCGTGAGCAGTGCCCCTGCTCCCCTCCTTCCCCCCCATTTTTCTTTCTGAGTGCGATGCCATACGGCGTGGAATGTCCCTTTGGTCAGTTGGGGCTGGCTGTCCTGGCTGTGTCCCCTCCCAACCTCTTGTGCACCCCCAGACTGGTGGGTGAGGAGCAGGAGAGGCCTTGGCTCCTTGTGAGCGCTGCTCAGCAGTAACGAAAACATCCCTGTGTTATCAATGGCTTTCAGCACAAATCCAGAACAGAGCCCCAGACACGCTACTATGAAGAAAATGAACTCTGTCCCAGCCGAACCCAGCAGAATTCCACAGGCTGAAATCCATCTCCCTGGTGGACGGCAGCTCTGCCACCCCTGGTCCCATCCCGGCTGACCTGCTTGGCTCAGAGCTCTACTCGCACCTTGCCCTCCATTTTGCATCTTGCTGCTCCTGCCTCAGCTCAGTAGAAGGGCTCGTGTGCCATTCCCAGCTTCCCCGCTTCTGCTAACCAGCCCCACCTCCTCCATCGCACACTGAGGCGTGCTCATGTAGATTTCCAACACTGGAAATTCGCAGGAGCCTCCTACCAAGTCCCAGCCCTTCTGGGCAAAGCCCTGTTCCCTGCAGAGCAGACCCAAACCGGGCTGCAGCAGCAGCTGCCATCATCCCGTACCAGCCCCTCTCGGGAACGTGCCATCCTTCGGACACACATCTGCCATGTACGATATCACGTGTCGAAGCCGTAGCTGTTGTGGACACCCTGTTCGGTGGGAGCGAGTCCTCTCCCGGCTGAACACAGGGGTTACGTGTCCGAGTGGGATCTGGGTCTTCCTTTCCCTGGGGATGGCCACACCAAAGTGATGCTTTCCCGTTTCACACTGGGAATCTCTGCTGGGCAGCTTCCTGCAAACTTCTGGCATTTCTGTTCTGCCTAGCCGGGTTTTGCAGGATCCAGGTCTCCACGATGCAGGTGGTGGTTACAGGCTTCATTCCTGGACATTTAAATTTGCATTTCCTTGGACTAAAATGTAGTTTGGATGGACCCGACCAACCAGTTGACCTAGTTGCTCTCTCTCGCTCTCTCATCATCCTGTCCTCGTTCTCTCCTCACCAACCTTTATGTCACCCACCAATGTTTGCAGCTGGGAACTCCCGTTTGCTGCTCGTTGGTGAAATGCCGAAGCTGGCGGCCACAGGGAGCACCTTGCTGTGCTGGTAACTCTTCACGGACAGCTCCTGCTGTCGAGCTGTCAGCGAGCGATCCCTTAAACCCTTCACTGCGAACTTCCTGACATCCCTCTGGGCGTTTCACCTGATGGAGATCAAAGAGCTCACGGCAGCGTTGGAGCTGTGTGGTTGCCTTTAGCGATCTCAGTGTGGAGACTGTTTCTCGAGGTCTGTTTCTGAGAGCGCCTTGTTGACGGTCACCAAGTGTACCTCTGGTTTGGTCAGTTGAATCCCGTGTTGTGTTTCTGCTGGCAGGGAGGTCGGGCTCTGTTGGTCGGGGATATCAGCCGGGGTTGTGCTGGATCTCCGGGGATGGCCGCATTGGCATTGGGGGGGGTTATGGCACAGGCCAAGCGTGCAGGCACCCACTCTCCGGGAACCTGGGCTGAAACTACAGGGATATTTACTCAAATCAAACGCACAGTGCTCTCCTGGCTTTTAATTCAGTGCCTTCCTCGCAGCCTTTCTGAATCAGTAAGTGTGCAAAACCCAGGGTAATAAAAAAGAGCTCATCTGGATTCTCGAGTACAAAACAACTTCATTTTTCCTTTTGCTTTGGTTTGCAGGGTAAAAAGAAAAGAGTAGATGCAATGTTTTCATTAAGAATGGAGGAAATATTAAGACAAACCTGCTTTAAAATTTTCACACTGGATTGAAAAAAATCACTTTCATCAAGTATTTGTCTTTATCAACTGCTGTCCCGGCTAGCAACAAAATTATAAAGTATATCCACTCTGTATAACTGTATTGAGTTATGTACAGTGTGTAGACTTTATGATACCATTATAAGCAGATGACAAATCTGAATGCTCGTGAGAAGCTTTATACGCTTGCAGCAAGGGGTAAACCTTTCTCCGTGCTGTTGGAGCCGGGACAGGCAGTGCTTCCCTGGGACTTTCTGCAGATGAAGCCTTTGTGGGGAGATGGTGTCTCGTCCATGGGGCTTTGCGCTGCCATGCAGAGGGCTCTGAAGCACAAGGAGGTCGGAGGGCTGGAAAAAAATGACCTACGAGAAGAAAAATGGAAGGAATTTGGTTTGTTTACGAAGACAAGACTGACGTAGAAACAGTTTTCCAATAAGGAAAAGGCTGTTGCGGGGCGTAAGAACCACCATCCTCCGTAACCACCGAGGAGGGAGAAGCGGCCTTCACCCCTGGCGCGGAGCACGAGGAGGGACCCGGGCTGGAGGTGCCACGCGGGGCCGGGGCAGCCGTCCCACGGCAGAGCTGTAAGGGAAGGTCAGACGAAAGTTGCCAAGCGTGGCTGTCCCTGCGGAGTCTCCGGCTGCAGGGCTCCATCCCGAGCTCATGGCGGAGGCATTTAGCACGCGCTGGCTGCAAGAGGTGTTTTCTCTCAGCAGCAGATCCTTTCTCCATGAGCAGCATCGCAGCCAGCGCGCGCATCCCGTGTGGGCACCGGGGAGGTCCGTGCCTGGGATGTGCTGACGCCGCTGTGTGTAGAAGAGGGGTGGGGGCTTTCCCCTTAATCTTCGTAGCTTGGCGGGTGATATTTTACAGTTTCGGCATCACTTAGGATAAAATTTAAGTTATTGAAGTTATATTTGTGTGTTTTTTCTGTGCAGGCCGGTTTATCGCATGGGGCTGGTGGCACTCGCGGCCTGTGGGATGCTGTTGACCTCCAGGCTCCTTTCCTTCACTCCGGAGGGGCCAAGGTCCAGCGAGATGGGGATCCCTCATCCTCCTTTGGCCACTCCTTTCCCTTAACTTGGTGTCTGTCCCGCAGGGTACTTCCCCTGTGAGAAAGCCGGGGCCGCAGCAGGCTTTGCCAACCCAGCCTTTGAGCCAAAACCTCCCTCGCCGAGGCTGGGGCCGGCAGAGGAAGAGATGATGATGATGGACATCATCAGTTACCACAGATAATCAGTTACCACAACTGGATGTGCCACAGTGATCCAACAGAAAGTCATTTCAGGTAAAAGAGAGGGAGGTCATGTCCAGCACAAGTCCACCTCGGAAGAAACCGTGTCATCCCTCTTCCCTGGGGAAAGCCCTGACAGCACTCTGGCGAGTTCATCCCAAGCACACGACTGCCTCGGCGGTACCCATGGAGGGTCTCCAGCCGTCCCGTCTCTGAGGGGTGAGAGTGGCAATTGCCTGAGCTGAGCCCAGCCTGCGGACAGGGAGAAAGCCGTGGACCCGGCCGGCTCGGCGGTGCCCTGGCAGGGAGCAAACCAGTGAGTGGTTCTGGGTGGAAATGACACGCAGGGAGGAATGCTGCCGGGGGGTCGGGAGCTGGTGGGCATGGAAGGGCTCTCCCTGGTCCATGGTGGGGGAGAGGGAATTTCATATGGCTGTGGATGGCAGGGACAATGTTTAGAGTGTCTTGCAGAGAAATATCAAACACTCAGAAACATTTCTAGAAGCAGCAAATCCACCACATCTGCAGGAAACTGTTGCAATGATTGATTACTCTTCTGAATCAAAAAGCTTTAACTTCTCATTTCGTTGTTTTAGCTCCAAATCCCCGTTATTAATCTTGCGTTGCACTGTGCTATGCAGCCGGGCTTGCGTTTCCTTCGGGTGAGCGGGGAGCCTTGCCGCCGCCCCCCTCCTCCTCCCGAAACCCAAGTGCTGCTGGTGCCCCTGGATGCACGCTGGGTTTCTGACCCCGTAGCTGCTCCCACCGCTCCCCTGAATATCCCTCCATCTAGTTGAAAATGCAATTATCCCTCGTAGAAACACAGGCACCAGGATCTGCCTGCCTTGCTGGGTGCTGCTCTGCACAGCACCGCTGGCATCGCTCGGGGCCAGAGTGTTTGAGCCCCGGGTTTTTGCCGGAGCCAGAGACAGCGTTTGCCATGTTCCAGCTGGTCGGGGCTCTGCAAATCCTCCGGAGGCAGAGATTAGAGATTTGACGTATCGAGTCAAAAGCTGCCTTGGATGTAAATCCCAAGA